ACAAGGGTGACCCCAGTGCCTGATTAATATAACATTTCTGATGTCCATAACAACACACACGCATAAAAAAAAATCACCAACTATCCGCCCGCACTAAAAAAATATCCACCCGACCCGTTTATTTTTATTTATGTATTTTTCAGCCGCAAAAGAGCAATTTAGCGGGTGACCCGTCGGGGACCCGCGGGTACCCGACCCCTTGCAGGACTCTATCAACAAGCATCAAAAATCAAGTTGCGCGCGTGTTTGCTGTCTCTGGTGCATATGGTCTGAACGTAGCATCATTTGGCAGATTGGGCCATCCTGCCCCCCCCCCCCCTCCTCTTTATAACCCAGCCAGGCCTTCCTGAGCAGAAGGTGTCGCCATCAAGTTACCAATCTTTCCACATTAAATATTAGCTGGGTCCTTTTCTTCCTGAGCTGGTGTTGAAGGGTGCGATTAAACATGATTGCCACTACCCGATCCATCCTGCTCATGCACCATCTGCCCATTCAGTGCGCATCCAGATATACATTCAGGTCACCCTCGATTTTATTTTGTTAAAAAAACCCTAAATGACCTTTTTTCCATCCTCAAAAATAATTGTCGTACTAAACTACAATGTGTTAAAGGTTAATAGTGTGTTTCCTGTGATAAGGTAAGGATTTTAAGGCATTTGTTTTTTTTCCTCTCATCTCTGTCCAATCTGCACCGTAAATTGGTAATCCTACGCTACTTCCAGGAGCTAACTTTTTTGGGTTTGGATTTAAACATAAATCTAGTCTTTTTGAGTTTTATTATTTCCTTTTGTGTTAACATTATGCTATACAGTGCGTAATCTAAAGAAAGAAACAACTAAAATGCAGATAAACATGGTTTAATCATATTTTGCCGGACTGCTCTGAGTATGTCCCATGATGATGAAGCTGTTTAACGAAGAAAATGGTATTCTTTTGAGGGTTAAGGATAAAAATAAGTAATTTTACTACCATAATGCCATTCTTTATGGACACCCGGATGTATATCTGTTCGCGCTTGCACAGGGCGCAGCCTCGAACTGGTAATCTGTGATCCCAGGCCTTTGCCCGGTGGGCCAGTCCTAATTTCAGCATGGCAAAATCATACGGGCCCCAACACTTACTTTCTAGCCAAAACACCTACCTGCGACAGTAAATAACTCAATGAGCTCAAGAAGTAATACAATGGCCGTTTCTCAATATGTGTACTTGTGCGTTCTCATGTGCTCGTGAAACGTCATCAGTCTCAGCCCTAGCACTGTTCCAGTTCACAACAGCAGACCGAGAACAGATAAAGCATCAGAGCAGATTTGTCAATTTTTGAGACTGACAGCTGTCCCAGCATGCACTGCGGCAGCAGCAGCTTCCAGGTTAGCGCTCACAGAGCTCAGCAAAATACGTTAAAAGCTCTTTGCTGTTGTTCAATAAAAGTACGTTTTAAGATCATTTGAGGCGCGGACGTTATACTTTAAAGAGTCACTATATGGTCCATTTCTGATTCAATGCATCATTTAAAAGTCGAGGGTACCACGGCAACCAGCAGACCTCTGAGGCTAACGCTAGCTAGGGCTAATGTTAGCCCGTCTGCAGCAGCCCTCTCTCTGTATAGCTCTCTGTGTGAAGGACCGCTGGCTCTAATGGAGAGTTTTTTGTTTTATTTGGTAAAATGTTCATTTGATTTGTGTTTATCTGACTGTGTTCATTATTATTCCTCCACTAAATAAAATACGTTATAATGTATTATTATCTAGAGACCTTTAATAACAGAAGGTGAATTGCAGCTCCAGACGAGCCGAGCCTGTGATGATGTCATCAGTACCCTTCTGTTCCAGCTGACCCATATTGATGCTGCGTGCTCCCGTTCTCCCAGAGTCCATATTTACCCGGATTCTTTTCCAGAACATACTTGTCGAGAACACGAGTCCGTACTCACGTTCTAGCGAATTGAGAAACGGCCAATGTTAACTACCTAAATGATGCATACAGTATATATAACCTAGGGCTGGGCGATAATTCAATAACGATATATATCGATCGATAGACGTGTGGCGCAATAGAAAAAAAGAGGGTCGATAAAAGTTCGATAAAAAAGAAACGCAGTTTTCCTTCCTTCTCATTGTAGCCTAGCATGTAGGTTTATGCTAGTCACTGCTTCCTCCCAACCAATCACAACCACGGCCCCAGGCATGCCGTCACCAAGCGCCGCCGTCTCAAACCACAACACAGAGCACATGAAGATGTCGCAGCAAGCAGAGGTGGAGGAAATTGTTTCAAAAAAG